TTATATATATTTTAAAAAGTTTAAAACAGCTCGTCATGTTCTCTAAGTGAATGAGATTTAAATCTTATTTTAATTTATCATCAAGATCTCCAAATTTCATTCACAATTTTATCAAAAAACAAGGTTCTTGATTTGCTAAACTTGTTTATATTTAGGACCATACTGTAACACGGCTGCTCTGGGATAAATGTAATTTATTAAACGATCAAATATGAAGAATAAATAATTACATGAGCTGAACCATCTAAATAATATAATATTTTTGAATAAAATAGTCTTTTAAAAATAAATCAGTCTAACAAATAAAACATTTGAATGTTTTAAGTTATTTTGCTCTGTTCAAAAGACAGATATTTGCTGGTTGGACTGGAGAGTGTGGAAATCTGGTTTAACCAAGGCCAAAGTGAAGACCAAACAGGAGTTGCTCATCTGAAGGACATGTTAGTCTAAAAGACATTTAACCAAGAAATGTTCAGTTTGTGATGTTTAAATGACATACACCCAGCCCCTCGGCCACTCAGGTAGTTTACAAAATGTATGCAGAGTAAAAGAATAAAATAAAAACTTGTTGGACTGATTTAACATGATGTCCTGAGACGTTGCAGCTGATAGGAGTCATAAAACAGAACAGGGGGACGTTAGATGACCTGACGCCCCTCTAGATAAATGTGTTAAATGAGTGAAGGAAAATATGAGTGAGCACCAAGCAACAACCCTAGGTTCTCCCCTGAGAACCAGACCAAACATTTTATGTGCACCCTGGACATGCTTTTGCAGGGTTTTCTGCTTAAAAAAAGATTTTTGTGTTTGTCTTTCTAATGTTTGTCATAAAGGAGCTCAGATATTTTCTTTCCTTTAAAGTATTCTGTGCCTCTGAGGTTTAGCTTCACAGACAGTTCTGTGAAAACCATTCAAGTTCCTCCGAGGATCTCTTTTGATTCTGATCTCTTTGAACAACTTCTGGAAGCTTATGTGCTGTTTCCTCAATACATGGTCCCATTTTATGGCCTCCATTTGTCTTTGAGACGTCTGAGCTCAGATACAGCATTTTTAGCTCAACATAATGTCAGGTTTGTTTTAAGGTTCAAGCAGATTTTATTGTTGTAAAGGAAGAAATGTTTTTTTCTTTCTGTTTTTCCCTACAGTATTTTTCTGAAGGAGCTGGTGAACTACGAGCAGCTTCCAGAGGATGTGGGCCACTGCTTTGTCACTTGGGTGAGAATCAGACATTTTATGTCCGATTTTTACTGCAGTTTTTTTAAACTTAATCAAAACTGGGTTGAGTTCTTGAATCATCCTCCTATTCTGTGTTTTTATTTTTCTTCAGGCTGATAAGTTCCACATTTATGTGGACTATTGCAAGAACAAACCAGACTCCAGTCAGCTCATACTGGAGCATGCCGCCACCTTTTTTGATGTGAGTAGAACCAGTTAAACCATAGATCCATGGGAGCTTCTCTAGGAGACTTTAAGGTTGTATTCACAGCTGACTGTGTTCGACTGGGGACCAAAACTGCAGGATTTGTTCACATTTTCAGTTGGTGCGGTTCACATTCACACTGCACTTTGTCAAACAAACTAAACCCTGTGAACAACCTGTTCTCCCCCTCACCTGTGGGGGCGCTGCACCAAGAAACACTGAAGGAATCCACACAAAAACTTAAGAGGAAAACACTGAGCACAACTTCCTTCCTCACAAAATGTAAACAAACATGGAGTGACATCAGATTTTAGTGGTTTTAGGATTTATTTTTTAATTTTTGGCAAATGCGCCACCTTATACAGACCTCGAGTAAGGTATTTACAAGAGATGAGTAACTTTACTACTGTTGGGTTATAGTCAGCTTTGCGTTCATACATGCAATCGAATCAGAGTTCGCTTCAACTGAACTGAGACCTAAGTTTTCAGCTGGACCAGAGTTCGCTTTTTTGGTTCTAATCAGAGTTTGATTACACATTCACACCTCCCCAAACAAAATGGACTTTCTAGGGAAACAAACTAGAGTTTGATTAAAGTGGACGAAATGTGGCTGGTGTGAATGAATCCTAAGAGATTCTCTACATCAGTGTTGTGGTCCTCGAGGGCAACTACCCTTTATGTTGGACATGTTTCTTTCCTTCAACCAGTGATCCATTGAGATGTACGGCGGGTAAAATAAGTATTGAACACGTCACCATTTTTCTCAGTAAATATATTACTAGAGGTGCTAATGATATGAAATTTTCACCAGATGTTGGTAACAACCCAAATGATCCATACATACAAAGAAATCAAACCATAAATGTCCAGAAATGAAGTTATTTGTAATAATGTGGAATGGCACAGGGAAAAGTATTGAACACACTTACTGAAATTTATCTAATACTTTGTACAAAAGCCTTTGTTGTCAATGACAGCTTCAAGACGCCTCCTGTATGGAGAAACTAGTGGCATGCATTGCTCAGGTGTGATTTTGGCCCATTCTTCCACACAGACAGTCTTCAAATCTTGAAGGTTTCGTGGACCTCTTCTATGAACTCTGATCTTTAGTTCTTTCCATAGATTTTCTGTTGGATTCAGGTCAGGTGATTGGCTGGGCCATTCCAGCAGCTTTAGTTTCTTTCTCTGAAACCAACTGAGAGTTTCCTTGGCTTTGTGTTTGGGCTCATTGTCTTGCTGAAATGTCCAGCCACGTTTCATCTTCATCATCCTGGTAGATGGAAGCAGATTTTTATCAAGAATGTCTCTGTACATTTTTCCACTCATCCTTCCTTCAATTATTTGAAGTTTGCCAGTAACATATGCTGAAAAACAGCCCCACACCATGATGTTCCCACCTCCAAACTTCACTGTTGGTATGGTGTTTTTGGGCTGATGTGCAGTGCCATTTGACCTCCAAACATGATGTGTATTCTGGCATCCAAACAGTTCAATGTTGGTCTCATCTGACCAGACTATATTCTCCCAGTATTACACAGGCTTGTTTAAATGTTGTGCAGCAAACTTTAAAGGAGCTTCAACATGCTGTTTCTTCAGCAGTGGAGTCTTGCGTGGTGAGCGTGCATACAGGCCATGGTGGTTCAGTGCATTACTTATTGTTTTCTTTGAAACAATCGTACCTGCTAATTCCAGGTCTTTCTGAAGCTCTCCACAAGTGGTCCTTGGCTCTTGGACAACTCTTCTGATGATTCTTTTCAGTCCTCTGTCAGAAATCTTGTGAGGAGCACCTGGTCGTGGTCGGTTTATGGTGAAATAATGTTCTTTCCACTTCTGAATTATGGCCCCAACAGTGCTCACTGGAACCTTCAGAAGTTTAGACATTCTTCTGTAACCGATGCCATCATTATGCTTTGCAACAATAAGGTTGTGAAGGTCTTGAGAGAGCTCTTTACTTTTACCCATCATCAGATGGTTCTTGTGTGATACCTGGCCATCATTTGGGACTGAACCAGCTGATATTAACTTGCACTGACAAGGGGCAGGCTTGCTTTCTAATTACTGAGAGAGTTCAGCTGGTGTCTTGGCTTTCCATGCCTTTTTACACCTCCCTTTCTTCATGTGTTCAATACTTTTTCCCTGTGCCATTCCGCATTATTACAAATAACCTCATTTCTGGACATTTATGGTTTGATTTCTTTGTATGTATGGATCACTTGGGTTGTTACCGACATCTGGTGAAAATTTCATGTCATTAGCACCTCTAGTAATATATTTACTGAGAAAAATGGTGGCGTGTTCAATACTTATTTTACCCGCTGTATGTGTGTTAAAATGTTTTCATTCATTGCTAATGCCTTATGTTTTAGATCATTAGGACTGTATGTTGTTTTTTCATGAGGAGATTAGCTGGAACACTTCATCCACACAGACACTCCGATAAATACGGAGCCCGCGAGGGGACATGGGGGATTTTTTTCTTTTTGCGTTCCCTCGCAAAAGTCGTTAAACACTGTTGTGCTGCTGGTTTATTAATAAACTCACATGTTCACCATTAGCGGGTTAGCCTACTGCTTTAACTCAGCTTCAGAATGAATATATCACACAGCCACRCATGGAAGTATGTCATATGTTGATATTTTAACACAGTGCAGCCACACAATATAAATGTCAATTTCACTAACTTGTGGCGACACATCCTGTTTTGGTAACCGGATATTTCAAAATAAAAGTCTGATTTAATTCAGTTCATATACAAATCATACTTTTGCGAGGTAACGCAAAAGTATTGCGAGGGAACGCAAAAGAAAAAAAATCCCCTATGTCCCCTCGTGGCCTCCGTAGATAAGTGAGCGAGGCTGGACAAAATGAGACAGTTTTTTTTTTAGTTTATTTTAATTAACTCTCCAGTTTGTTACAGCATGGAGTTTCCATTTATGAGCTGCCTATTCTTCACAACTGATATTTACTGTCTGTCTGGTATCTGAAATAAAAGAAGAAGGCAAAATCAGAACATGCTAATATGTAGCTTAGCTTACACTTAAAATTACAATAAGGCAGAACCTTAAACATGAAATAAACACTTCTTGGACTGTCTCATAAACCGTGTTTCCATCAAGGTTTTTAATGCGCATTTTTAAGTATCGCATCAGAAAAGGTGAATGGAAGCTTCTTCATTCAAAAAAACTGTCTCTAATTCACAGCCCCAACTTCATTTGCGTATAAAAAGAAATAATTAGAAATCATTAACGGCTCATTGAACTCACCTTTGTCACAAACGCAGACAAGCATGACTGATAAAAGAACAAGAGCTGCCGTGATCAGCTCTATTTCCCCAAGGACCCCTTAGCTGTCTAACAAGATGCCTGATTAGTTTGTGAACAAAACAATTCAGAAATACTAGGGAATTTACAACACCTTACATTATCAATTTCTTACATGCATTTTATCACAGTCCAGCAAATCAGTTAAGAAAAGAAAACTGTTACCAAACAGCCAATTACGTGACTTTAAAAATACAAAATACAGAAAAGTGCAATACAGAAAAAGAGAATTAAAGCTGATTCTCTGTTGCTTTGTCCGAACCAAATTCAAAGATTATTAATGAAAAATTTTTACGAATTTTCTTGGCTTGAAAATAAGCCATCCGTTATGACAAAATTGCACTAAATACAATAATAGCGAACCAATGAAACTAATTTAACGTCTTACTTTTGGAGCCAGATAAAATGTTAATGAAGACCAGATTTGGCCCGTGGGCCTGGAGTTGCCAAAAAAAAAGCTTCTCAGATCACTTAGACTCATCCTGTTTGCTCACATTTTATTTCAGTTTGGGTTCTTTGCATTGCAGTTGGTTCGACTTTATTGATGTTCTGTATGTGTCCTGAATGTGGTTGTCTGAGGACAAAAGTGCTGACCATGACGTTAGAAACAGGATATAAATTCAAACTTCAATAAACAAACAGCTGATGTGGTAAACAGGAAACAGTAAACACGGTGGTGATGGCAGAAATGGAACCACTGACCAATCAAAGAATTTGAAACAATTGTTCCAGAAAAGGATTTGATCTTGTGGAACTCACCACACCACTACCATAGTGACATCTGGTGGCCAAATAAAATCTAGATTTAATGGTTTTATCACAAACACTGCAAAACACAGTTTCACAAAGTTTCAAATTTCAAATGCTTAGAAATAAAATACCCATTTTATACCTGAGATAAATAGCTAGAATACATAGAGAAATGTAAAAAATTAGCAAAACTATTAAGTTAAATCAGATAAAATATGTGCCTTTCAATTGCATGAACCATGAAAGAATAAGACCCTGGATATAAATGACTAAAAAGGGGGGTATTGCGTATTTTCCAGGCACATATTTCAATTCTATACCATAAACAAGTAACTACGGTAGTAACCTTCAGTTGTTGTGAAAA